CTAAACCCCTTAACCCTGAACCCTTAAACCCTAAACCCTTTAACCCTAAACCCTTAAACCCTAAACCCTAAAACCCTAAACCGTTTTTTGCTGGGCACATGGACCCTTGGGGATTGCGCGTCCGAGCGTCTGCATCGTCTCCCGGAGCTCCTCTGCAGCACCTGCGCCGGCCACGGTTTAGAGTTTCGGGTTTGGGGTTTAGGGGTTTAGGGTTTAGGGTTTAGGGCTTAGGTTTTAGGGGTTTTAGGGGTTTAGGGTTTAGGGTTTAGGGCTTATTAGGGTTTTTTTTTTAATGCACTAGCCCCTTTTCTCGCAGGAGGTCAAGAAGCTCGCTCAGTTTGAGCGTGCATTACACAGCACTCTCATCGGGTTCTCCTTCATCATGTTCCACCGCTTCACCATCACGACTTCGACTACGTTCATGACGCACTCTGACTTCAGTACTCGATCCTGCCGGTGCTGTGGTGACGGAACTTGACGGTGCTGTAGTGCCAGAGCTCGCAGTCACCCCATCACCACGAACGAGCCGATGTCCTCGACGACGGTTGGCAACACCTCTTTCGCGACGCACTCGAAACGGCATCTCAGGTGGCTGACACATGTGGGGGTAGTTTGGGATATGCACGTTCCCGTCCGTCTGCAAGAGGAACAGGTCCCTGTCGTCTTCGTTGGGCCATCTTCCTTCAGGGATGTCCCTACCCAGGTCCGCGAAAAGACTCCGCATGTGCATACGCCATGCACGGCGGCGATATCCTGCCAAAGTGGCTTCGCCCACACCCGGTAGTGCCGCATGCACCCCCTGCAGTGACGACGGTAGGCCTGGTTGAAGGAGAACACCTGGATGGTTGCCAGGAATCACCGTCGCCGTAGAGGATGTGCCATGGCCATTTGCAGCCTCGCGGCCGATCACTTCCCAAAGTCTTGTTTCCATGGTGGCCGCATTGAGGGGCCAGGCATGTGGTTCCAGCTGTACCATGCCAAGGAGCTCCTCGACTGCCTCTGCCAGTAGTCGGTCACAGTGACGAAGAACTCGTTGTCGGTCGATGAGACGGCGGATTAAATCCACCAGGTCCGCTTGCCCTGCCACCTCCGTAGCCGCATGGACCGCCTCCCGGACAATATCGGCCGGCCATAGTACTCCAGACGAAGAGGTAGTGGTCGAAGTGGTGAGTCCATAGCACTGGGGAAGCTGCAACCCCCACTGCATCATGACTACGGAGTCATCATCCTCGCCCTCTTCCGCGTCCAATTCCTCAGCAAACCACGAGACATCCCCCAGTGTTGTTTCCGCAGGACCTTGCACATCTCCCTCCGCATGGGGGGTGAAAGGACACTCCAATGTCACCCCCATGGAAGTAGGATGCGAGGAGCACGATGTCAAGATCATCCCCGAAGTCGACGAAGGAGTGGGCGGTGACGAGCTGCACAAGGAAGACAAAGTCCAGGGCCATGACAAGGAAGTCGTCGACGTGGTCGGTCTGGTTGATGCTCCTGAGCCGCTTGACCTCCCAAAGACACTATTGTCCGCAGACAGGTCTTCAAGTGGAGGGTCTCTCCAGATACCTGGCAGCTGAGAGGGGTCAACCGTCACTTGATGTGCCTCCTCAGCATGGGTGCTCATCTCCTCCTCCGCCTCCTCATCATCATCCTCCCATTCACCATCAGAGTTGAGAGCTCTCGAACTTGGCGGGCCAGATCCAAAGCGCGGGGAAGATGAATGGGCAATGCTTGCCGGAGGGGAACGGCTGCGCTCACGTGCAGGAAGATCCCCAGATGCAGATGCACCGGTTGTGCTAAGAGGCGCGGTGTTGAAGCCAATGGATACCGCTTCGCTGGGGTCGCACTCCTGCGGCTGGAGCGGCGCCTGGAGGTTGATCTCGAGTGCCCTGGTGAGGACTTCTTTGAAGCGCCTCGCCCAATTCAACCACCTGAACCTTGCCAATTGTTCGCCAGGAATGCGTTGAATAGGGAGATATCCACGAGGGAGAAGTCGACGTTGTAGAACAAGCAGTACGGCCTGGAGCGTCTGAATGCCATCTTCCAGCCTAGCAACCAACCTGGCCACGGCCCAACGGGCTTCCGGTCCCCTGCCATCCACTTGTTCATCGTCCACCTGGTGAAGGAACTCTTCGAGGGCGTTGATGCTTTGTTGTGAGAGTCCGGTTTCCTGGAGGGTCGCACGTTCCCCATTTGTCAGCTGCATAAGCCAGTTAACGTCACCCTCGTAGGTCTGCACCTCCGGGAAGAGACCAACTCCAGGCACACCATGAGGGCCCAGCACACCAGCGTCCACCCCTGCCGCCGCATCTCCAGCCAACGCCGCAGGTGTAGTTGAGGTTGTCGAGGAGGTTGACGAGGACGAACTAAAGGCCCCAAATTCACCCCAATGCCAGGGCCAGGTCCGAGTCCATGACGCCGGCGGTCCCCGGTGCAAGGCCTGGTTGACTCCAATGAAGGATTCCCGAGCCACGTCCACGTGGTTGTCGACGAGGGCGCCGTGGAAGCTGAAGTTCCTGCACTTTCAGTCTGCTCGTTCCAGGAGTCCCAGTTACCCTGGTCCTGCCATGATGTCCATGATGACCAGCTGGTTTCGCTTTCATCCCCTGTTGTTTCTTGTGGTGGCAGCCATGAGGACGAGCTCCTTGAGTGCCAGGGAGCAGCTTGCCATTCCTCCGAGGTCCAATTGTTCCGCTGCCATGTAGAGGAGGAGGAATTTTGCTCCGCGTGTCCAGACCAGTTCCACCATGTGGGCGTCGATGTCCAGGCCGCATCGTCCCATTCAGGCTGACTAGCATCCACAGGGTCCTGTTCATTGTCTCCTTGTTCCTGAGCTGGGCTTTCAGGGCGGTCATTAGCTTCACGAAGTTGACGATCTCGAGCGTAGTTAACCAGCCACGCCGGTTTCCAGGTGCCGGCAAAGTACGCAAGCATCCGTTCCCTTTTCCGCCTGGAACGTACCTCACCACCACCCCCACGGTGTGCACGGAGTTCTGCTTCCGTACGAGCTCGTGGCACCCAAACTCCGGCCCTCCAAAATCCAACCTCAGGCGCCGAGCCTCCATCCGAAGACGAGAGCCCAGACTCAGTGTCAGCGACGTCGCCCTCCTCGCCCGCCGTGGTGCTGATCTCATTGTCCATGCTTGCCAAGTTGGTACGGACCTTGTGCACCGCGCCTGTGCCATCGTCGACAAGGAGGAGGCCATTTCCCGTCCCAGGCTCGGTCCCCGCCGACCCAATGATATCCAGCCAGGTCTCCTCCATAGTCGTAGGTGGTGGCGTTTCTTCAGGCACGGGCGGCAACACATCGTGTCTAGTCTCCGTCGACAAACGTTCACGTAGGCGAGAGCGTACTGACCCATTAAGATTGTGCCAACGGTCTGTTCCACTCCTGGCTTTACCAAAGCGTCGTATGATGCCTGTCTCCATGGGTTGGGCCTGAGACGCATGTTGACCAGGCTGGGTGGTACACGGAGGGCGGCCCCGAAGGCAGCGCTTGTCGATCACTTTGTTAACCCAGTCGTTCGCCACCGGGACAGGAACTTCCTGTTGCTGTAGATTCTCCCCTTCCTCTTGTTCAGGCAGTGCTTGAAGCTGGACTTCCTCCCCTTCTTCTTGTTCAGGCAATGGTGTCCATGTGGGGTAGAAGGTCTGGTGCAAGACATCACCCCGAGGCATGAGTTCACCCATCGCCCATGTAGCCGGAGCGGTAGTACCGAAGGAGCTTGACGGCAAACAGGAGGAACTCGCCGAAGAGGGGCCCGAGCACGAAGAGGTCGTACAGGGCGGCGCCGAAGAAGAAGACGAAGTCGACCAAGATGGCAAGGAGCGCAGCGATGTAGAAGGCCAAGAAGTCACCCCTTTCCACCGACGATTGCTCCCCAGACGACCACTGCTGTGGAGTGTCCTCACGCATAGTGGTGTTATCCATTGGGACTCCAGTCAGCCAAGAGGGTGGAAGTTGATGAGCATCTGGTGCAGTCATATCTCCCCCAGAAGGTCCACATCCTCCTGGCTGGAGGGCTTGCTCAATTTCCTCCGATTGTAATCCAAGTGAGATCTCCTCGTCCCATGCCATCGACATGTGGGCCATGACCAGGACGTCGTTGGGGAGGGTGGTAGGAAGGGAGGCCGAAGCGGAGGATTGATGTCCTTCCTGGGCTCGGTTCTCCTCCCATTTATCTTCCCACAAGTGTCCAGGGTAGTCCTCCTCGTCGCCGGCGTAGGTCAGCAGCACGATGTGGAACAGGATGGGCACCGAGAGCATCATCACCCGTAGGCTCGCTTCCATGTGCGCGAAAAGAACGTGAGGACAAAGTGGTTTTCCAATGTCACCTCGAGCCAGCATGGGCTGCAACAGCAGCAAGACAAGTTTCAGACGACATGTAACCAGAGGCTGACGTGTCATCAAACGTTCCAGAGTAGTCATCAACGGCAGACGAAGAAGGCGTGCTGACGAACATGATGAGGGAAAAAGGAAGGAACAAACATGTAAGGCTCGAAACTCAGAAGGTTCAGGTAAGGCAGAGAGAGGTACGATACAGATGCGTTCCAGCGCGGCAACAGAATGCAACCCGAAAAGAAGTTCTTGTGCATCAGCCCGATCACGGCATCATTCCCCAAGAGCCCTAACGGATCACATACATAAAGCGAGCTGTCTACCTTTGGACCACTTGAGGTCCCATCGATTGATGAAGGCATCACGTTCCCTACTCCAACGTTCTCTGTCAAGTGCAAGGAGGTACCATTTTGCTCCATGGACATGCACTTGGCCTCGGTGTCGAAACCCCACCCTCGGGCTCAGTGATTGCTCCCTCCTCCACCATTCAGTAGATCTCCACTTTAGCGCTCTCATCGGAAGCGAAGGAATGAGCCTGTGAGCGTCAAGCTGTTCTGTGCGCCTTGCCCAATGCCCCGCGATGGTGTGCTGAAGCTTAAGTATCATCGTACTCCATCGCGGCGTCTGGTGGTAGGCCAACCAAGCACGACAGTCTCGCATCGTACGGCTGTTCCAAGTCACCCATGATTCACCCCTTTTCCTCCCAAGCCCAAAGATGTTGCGCATGATGTGGAGCTACAGCACGTTGGCCTGCTGGAGGTCACTCGCCGACCAACAAACAGCCCCAGCTGTCCATTGGATTTGGGAGGTGACGAGGGTAGTCAT